CACATGAATAGAATAAAATAGCTTTCAACAAATTTCATGGTTTTGTTCTCTATGTAACCCTCAAAAACTGTTGTAACACTCACTCGTTCCCTTACTTTAATGTCCACCCTAAGGCTGGTTCTACTCTTTTGTCTTTTATCCATTAGTCTCTCCTGCCAGCCCACACTTGCTTTTCTCACCAGGTCACCTCCTGATTCGCTTGGGTTGTACAAACTGGTGATTAGAAAAAAAAATCAGATTTTTCTGTTTTCTTCCCACAGGTGATAAATGCCGTAGAGCAAGACTATCGACTGCCCCCACCCATGGACTGCCCCACGGCTCTACACCAGCTTATGCTGGACTGCTGGGTGAAGGAGAGGAACTTGCGACCCAAATTCACCCAGATCGTGGCCACACTGGATAAGCTCATCCGGAACGCTGCCAGTCTCAAGGTGGTCACCAACAGCACACAGTCTACTGGGTAAGTCTTAGCTGAAATGCAGAAACTTTATTTCAGTGNCTGAGTTAACGTGCTGTGCAAAAAGCCCTTTATGCAGATCGATCCAGCATTCATAAGTCACTGATTGAGCTCCAACTGCCATTTAGTGCCACATCCAACACAGATTTCCTCCCATACATACCTTCAGTAATCACAAATGCAGGCTTAGCCATTATGCAAATCTTAATTACCATCGCTCAATACAACCTTTAAAGCTGTTCAGCCAACAGCTGGAGGCTCAGTCACTCATGCTATATCTGTGTTTAGCTGATTTATCTTTATTTGAAAACTCAGTTGTTGGAATTAGTTTGGAAGATGGAAGGCCTCAGAGTTGGAGAATATAAAGAACAGCGGTGACCTACCTTTCTGTCCCCGCATCAGGGTCTTTTCTCTCCTGAGGGAAGGCCTCAGACTATCCTGGATTGGGCTCATGAGAACAACCAGTGTCTCGGTTGGCCACAAGAGCRATGTTCTTAGAAGATTAGGCTTGCGGTTAATTAGCTCGATTAAGGCGATGCAAAAAAGAGATGCGAGCGCCTTTTAATTAGCCACTAACAAGATTTTAAACGGGCCAGTGGAGAGGTGGCCTCCTGCCGACAAATCTAACAAGGAAGGAGTGAGAGATGGAGCAGCAGTCCTGGTTGGCTAGAGATTCAGAAACAGTACGTGATGTGTTTTTTGGGTTTGTGCTGTTATTGCTTGTATGCATATTTTAAGGTGTGTTTAATGGGAATTCACATTATGAAACAAAAATCTTTGATATGAGTCTCCCAGGTTTTATAGCACATATTTTTATGTGAGTATTTACTGTAAATATAGAGTTTCATGAGGAACTAGCTATAAAAAAAACACTTAACTTCATTTAATATGAAACAGCAGATAGACTCTTTTGAGAAAATGCAAAAGTCCCCCTTTTTATGAATTTCGGTTTGGCATATAATAGTTCTACTAGCTAGCTCACAGGCTTATCCAGCTTTCCTGCTCTGCCCTTGCCTGTGTCTTACATGTGGCCAGCAATCATCTAGACCCGTTTCTTAGCCAACTTTAGAGAAACGCGACTAACAATACTTATTTAAGAAAAGCCAGAGTCTGGCGTTAACTACAGCCTGAAGCCCTGGGCTCCAAAGCATAGCCCTTATTAAAAATCACTCCATCTGCACCCTTCAATGGAGCCTCTGTATCACTATTATTACCTCCCCCCTCTTGTGTTTTCTCTTTTCTCCCTCGTTCTCTCCCCATTCCTCTTTTAATTGTTAATGAATCTAATGCCATCAAAAAGGATGACAGGGATCAACAGAGCAGAGAGACGGCGAAACAGTAGTGCTCTTTCTCTGGGCTTGATCCTCCAACTATCCCCCCACACCCTCCGCCCCCCACCCCACCCTTTACATTCCCTCACCTCCTCATCACTCCACCTCCGCTCGTGTTCATCTGCTCTACTTTGCACCGAGTAGTCGCACGGTTTTATTAAAACTCTCAAGGTGGCCTTTTTATCTGCAGCATTGATCGTGACTGGTATATTTTTCTTTAACAAAGCCTTTTTGGCTTGTCGACAGGTGTGCTAGTCCTAAGACACACTTTCAGACACATGAAATTTCTGTCTTTACATTAAGGCTATGTTTGCCCACTTTTTCGGGATCACGGCGCATGTATTCTTTGGTTTAATCATCACTTTATGGTGCTTAAACACTCAAATGTTCCCTCGGAGGATGTTCTGTAAATGCAATAATTATGTGCTAAAAGGCATTAGGCTAAGAGCCTGAACGCTGACCACATGTTCACACAGAAGGAACAAATTTGAAATAAACTGACCACCTAAACTACATGAACTCCAATCTTCTCAGATCAGATTTAAACCTTTATGTAAACGTTTTGAGAATGTAAAATGGTCCAATCATTACTGACTTTCCATTGTCTCATCAGTCCCATTGAAACACATAGGCAGTGGAATGCACAGACGTTGTTTTAACAAGACAAAAACTGTTTTCGTTTTTTTACGTCACTACCCCCTTATTACCTCCACCAAGAACGAGGTAATGTTTTCGGTGCCGTACGTCTGTCATTCTGTCTTTCTGTTTTTGGACAACATTACTCAAAAACTTGTGGACGGATTGTCATGACATTTTTACCACATGTGGATACTGGGCCAAGGAACACAACTTTAAATTTTGGTGATGTTCCGGATCACGATACGGATACAGGAATTTTTTAACACTCTGAGATCGGCAAAGCTGTGATGCTTTCACAGGGCTTCTGTAAAAAAACAGTGAGCTTGATTGGACAGCACGGACTTCAAACTTTATAAAAGTAATGTTAAAACCAGATTTAATGATGAATAATTTTTGCCGTAATATACACATTTAGAGAACGTTTTGTGACCAGGAAGTGCGGGACTGCACCATGAAAACTATTTTTCCCATTTCCTCAAACACACCACATTTCCGAAACAACCAATCAAAACAGTTTCTCGCTACTAGGCTTGTAAACAGAGAGCTGCTGGGCCTCAAAGTTTGGAGATGGGGGGAGCCAGGAAGCACTTTATAAAGAGTCAAACCATTACAAACTCATACAAGGGGATAAAACAGATGTTTTACATGGTGAAATGTGACTGATGAAAACTTAGGAGCTTAATCCGACACCAGTTTGACGATGAATAACGTCGGGTGACGAGTCTGAATTTTTTTTTTTTTTTGCCACTTTGGACTCTACCGAGAAGAAATCCCTTGCATACTGCCTGCTTAAATGTTCACTACCAGAACTCATCAGAACTTATTCGGCAAATGTGTTTCCATCTCTGCTTTTGCACATTAACTCTTACAGGATGGGGGAAATGGTTCTTGGCGGAGGTTTGCACTCTCCGAGTGCTTCTAGTTAGAAAATACAATAATAAAAGAGTGCATAATCCCAGTCATTGTTTAGGACTGCTTTGATTTCTGCTTTAAAAAAAAATACATATATGTTAACGGCCTTGCCTCATCAGCCACACTGCCAACACCCACCACCCAAGCCTCCAGCCAGTCTCTCCACAGCCATAAAATTCCCTAACCCCATTGCACACAACTCCTTACATTCTGTACGAAGGAGATGGAAGGAGAGGGGGAGCAAAGAGGAGGAGAGGCAGAGAAATGGAGAGGTGGCGCTCAGTGGGGGGCGTTTGGGGGTGAGGTTGGCCGCTAGAGGCAGTAGAGTAATGACCTTAACCCTCTCTCTCTCTGTCTCTGTCTCTCTCTCTCTCTCTCCTCCCTCCCCCGTCCTCTCTAATGTAGGGTATCCCAGCCATTGCTTGATCGCAGTGTGCCAGACTATACCACTTTCACCACTGTGGGGGACTGGCTGGATGCCATCAAGATGAGCCGCTACCGTGACAACTTTGTCAACGCCGGATTTGCGTCCTTTGACCTGGTGGCCCAGATGACAGCAGAGTGAGTGGAGCCAATCGGGCCTAAAATAATTGACTGTGCTGGGTTTGAGAGTCAAATTAGAGTTATGCAAATTGACCTTTAGGGAATAAAACAATTCCTGTGAATAAATTAAACATGACGGGAAAGTAATGACCTCAATCCACTCCTTGTTTGTGTAAACTCTGACTTATAGTGAACTCAAACATTAATGGAACTGCAATGATAAATCTTGCAAATGAAAGCTTATTTTACCATAAGGTTGATATAGCACATTTGCATTTGATGCTATTTGGGTGGGATSTACTGCACTGAAAAATGTAAGACCATAAACACAGAAAAAAACTTTATAAAAACTGTATACGAGAAATATGTACTACTCATGTTTTAATCACTTTAGTGTTGCAATGTAACTAAAACTATCACTRCAGTTATCAACATTACAAACAAGGAAATTTGATGAGCACATCCAAACTAATCAATATTACAGACTACAATCAATTTTCAGCATGCGCTCATAGCCACTTACTTGCTTCGACTTCCAGTTGGTGACATTTGTCTTGTTTACAAACAGGAAATGATGTAATGGAAGTCATGCAAATTGGATGCAAGTGATGATCAAATAAATGAATTAGGATTATAACGATAAATAAATCATTCTCGTTAGCTGCATAATAGGCGACAGAGGTGGGGTAATTTGTTTCAATTTGGCCAGGCTGACAGGTGCGGTGTACTGCGGGTCTCTGTTGCCCTTAATGGCCAGTAATTCCTGTAATGGTTCCCATTTATTATCATTTCATCCTCTGKTGCTGTGCTGATGGGGGATGGCAAAATATGAAGAGGAAAAAAAATAAACCATTCATTTATTCTATACGGGATGAATGTTATAGGAATTTTGTGACTGTTAATCTCAATGTGCATATCAGATGGTGTCTGGATGTAATAATACATCATTCTGTATTTGTATGTATGAGGGACTAAAAAGTGAGGAAAAAGAATGTGGCAAAGGGTTGAGCTTATCACTGTACTAGATAATATCTGCTCCCCCCTTACCTATTGGTCAGTAAAATCAAATAATTAAGCAGGAACAACAGATCTGTGATCCTGTGATATGATTGGGCAGTGTAATGGACATGATAATTAAGTTATGTCAAGCCCAGTATGAGATTTCAATGGAATGATAATCATGAGCAAAAAGGCTTTGGTTTTATGGTATTATGGTATCAAAAGAAACTTTTTAAATCATTGAAATTGATGTACACATTAATGGTAGGCCTAAGCAAGAGTATAAAATTAAGACAGGATATGTTTAATTACATTCATTTCCTGTTTATGGAGATAAATTGCTGGCTGGTGTGGACTTAGTGAAGTCTACCATCTGCCAAACAGTAGCTGAGTTTGTCATTTAATCATTAACTATCATTTTGGCCTGTTGACTTCAATCATCTTGCCCACCTGCAGGGTAACTGAAGTATGTGTTACCTATTTGATTGTTCCCATTCTGCTAACATGGTCTCAGGAAGTCATTTTATGGGTGATTGCCAGGGTGAGGTCTGTGCCTGTTGCTGCCTGTAGAAGTGGGTTTAATTGTAATTCARTGTGAAACATGGGTTTTCAGCTTTGGGTTGGTTGATGTTTGTTCACTCTTTTGTGACAAAACAACCTGTTTTTTTATCAAAAAGAAAAAAAAGTAGGTCCTCTGGATGGGTTCTACTTTAGTGAAACGTTTCGTTTCTCCTCCAAGAGTCTTCTTCAGTCTACTGAGTTTCAGGTGAACTTATAAGCACTGCCTCCACATGGTGGACAAACAGGTTAGTCACATGCAAAAGAGGACCATCGCCTAACAATAGGCTTGATTAGCTCTATTGTTCATAGAGGGTCATGTGCCCCATCACCTGACTTATTGGTTTGGATGCTTCSGCCGTGGTTATTTGGTGTTTTGTTATGTGTATGTAGTGAGTGCAGGCGGGGTTCAGCGTCCCCTTGTTTTTGTCTCTCTTTCCCGATTTGTGTTGGGTATCATTGTGGCCCTGATTCACACCTATCCTTTGGGAAAGAGACAAAAACAAGGGGACGCTGGACCCCTCCTGCACTCACTACATACACATAACAAAACACCAAAAAAAAAAAAAAAACCCACAGCCAAAGGATCAAAACCAAAAAGTCAGGTAATGGGGCACATGAACCTCTATGAACAATAGAGCTAATCAAGCCTATTGTTAAGCGATGGCCCTCTTTTGCATGTGACTAACCTGTTTGTCCACCATGTGGAGGCAGTGCTTATTCCCACCTGAAACTCATCAGACTGAAGAAGTCTCTTGSAGGAGAGACGAAACGTTTCATTAAAGAAGAACCCATCTGGAGGACCTACTTATTTTTTTCATTTTGATTTTTTTCTACCTGGATTACTGAAATGCATCAGGACAACCTGTTTGTTTATTTATTTATTTATTTATTTTTGTCTTACCTCTACAGGGACTTGCTGCGAATAGGGGTGACATTGGCCGGTCATCAGAAGAAAATCCTCGGTAGCATTCAGGACATGAGACTACAGATGAACCAAACACTTCCTGTGCAGGTGTGAGCGTGAGGACACTCGTATGGATGCAAAGGACAGTCAGACGAGAAACGGGGGGTAAAACTGTGCCAGAGTGGGCCAACGGAAAAAACCCAAGCTGCCTGACCCATCTCTGCCATCAAGACACACTCAAACTGGCTTGCAGTGCCTCAGAATATATATTTTTAATGATTTCAATGCCACATACATTTCCCGCCCCCTCTGTTTTGTTCCTTTTTATAGTTTTTTTTCCATCCAAATGGAATTAGTTTGTTTTTGAAAGAGGAGAACAGCTTAACCTCCCTTTGCCATGCGTGCTTCACCAACTCTAGGATGAGTTGATGTTCACATGCATGTGGTTTTTGTGAAGTTGGCCTTATTCGTGCTCCGAACCTTCATGCACGAGCCTTTCCTCTTGACCCTTACTACAGCTCTGCTGGATGTRAAAATATACGGTCAAGAATGAACTCCCACATATGAAAGAGCGAGAAACTCTTCACTTGTAGAAAAAGAAACCAGGTGAAAAACTTTTGTGTGCCAGAGCACAAGAAATAAAGGACGATTCTTTCTCGGATATAATTTTCTCCCTTTTTTTTTGTGCATGTCCGTTGTTCTCCATCTTCATATTGAAGATGTGTTACCTAAAAGGGCACTTGCCGGAGAGGGGTGAGGCGGTGAAAGGAAAATAAAGAAGATGGACTGCAGTCAAAGGTCAAGAAGATAGCTAAGATCAAAAGGTCAAAGAAAGAGAAGGCAGCCACAGTTTTGGACACCTGTGTTGAACTTGGAGTCACCAGACGACCTCTTCACGCTGACCTGAGGGACTTTGGATTGGTTCATAACTTGGGAACACCTGTTTTACTTATACAAATAAGAAGTTCTTGTTTATTTTTGTTTGTTWGTTTGTTTCCCAAACTAATTTTTTTTCTTGCTTCTTTTGACGTTTTTTGTCTTTCTTACACACCTTTGGGAGACTTTTGATTTAAAAATGATTGGTCCAACAAGGATCAGCCCCACTGCAGGACACTTCATGTGATCAGGGGGAGACGAGGACTGTGGCAACACTATGGAAAGACCCCTTGGCCTTTTGTGTGCATTTTTTATGGGAGTGTCTGTTTGTGTGCGTGTGTGTATGTATGTGTGTGTGTGTGTGTGCTTGCATATTTGTATGATGAAGTGTGTCATGGAGTGCAAGAGTGTTCCTAGCTGCACAAAAGTTTCTGTACAATACAGCTTCTGCAGTCCGACACCATGGAGAATTAACGCATGAACTGTAATAAGAAGCAACTATATCTGAAATAATTACGCTATACTCTGTGGACAGCTGTTAAACATTCACTTTTTTTATTGGATCCAAAAATGACTTTGAACTCACACACACTCACACTCACGCAGACACACACACATTCAGTCAAACGTCCTTATAAATATATATAAATATATAAAATCCGAATTTAGAAATAATCAAACAAATTATTGTTTATATTTTTTTTGACCTTTTGCCCTGCGTATTTATTTGTACCTCACCCGTCAACCTCATAATCCCCCCCCCCCACCACCACCACCACCATCACCACCAACATGGACAAAGCCGCTGTTTGGGAGAAAGGACTTGGAACAATCAGAAGAAAAGAACCTAAAAAAATGCATTCATTCAGAAATCGGCAATGCATTGACAGCTATTAAGCAAAATTAATTGCAAGAAATGGGATATTGTATTTCTGTTGTTGTTCTAAACAGCCTGTACATATTTTGTAACAAATTCGGATGAACGTAAAAAAAAAAGGTGTTGTAACAAAACGAAGGTGTTGTGAAATGTTTGCCTCAGAGGGAGTTTAGCTGCAAGGACAGGACAACCATGGGAGAAAGAGAGAAGAAATGAATAGCAGCCATTGTTATCTCAGTGTTGACTGTGAGGAGGTGTGTTCAGCTCTGTTTGTGCCACCTGAACTCGATATTCGACTTCCCCAATCCATTCTTACTCTCAACGTACAGAGCATTTGTGAAGCACTGAGCTGTTACTAATTGTCTTCCAGGTACATAATTTCCCACTCAGCTGTAGTCCAACCCATTTCATTTAGGACTGTCAAGATTTTTATTTTTATTTTTTGAAAGGGGAGGAGAGGCAGCTCAGAGTTAGAGTTGTTTAAAACTCCTCCGTTTACCTTTGTATCATTTCAGTCACCCTCCCTCCCCCAGAGGAGGAGCACCATTACAGGGCCTCTCCATCCACGGGGTCCTCATTAGAGAGTCCCGAGCTGTCAGTGGAGAAGCCTGTTGGTTTGTGTCTGTCAGCTCGATTAATGCGGCAGCCAATCAGGCCTGGCGAGGATATGAATGTGCATCACGCAGGCGTTCGCCGACACGGGGCAGGCAGGCCTATCATAATCTCTCGTTCATTTCCTGTCTGGCCCGCAATCGCCCCGTCTCAGCTCTGGGTGCTGCATGATTAGCGAGCAGGATCAACAGCAAAAGTATACAGACAGCCCAAAAACCTGAATCCGCCCTCATCTTAACTGATAGCAGCTGCATCTCAGACCTTTCTATTTGCGCTTCTCGCAGGAGGGTGTGTGGAGACGGCAGATTAGGGAGCACGGCTGTATCACTGCTGAAATCTCCCAGAAAACCTCGATGCTGTTTGGGTTGGAGTTGMTCAATGCAATATGTGAATATCATTCTTTGCATTTATGATGTTGCTGATGGAGTGGATTTTAGGTCATGCAGTTGGTCTTAGTTCCTTTAAGAGAAATGGATATGCAAAACAGTAATGTGTTCCCTATTTTGTGTTATTTTATTGTTTTCCACAAACAGGTGCTTTTTTTTTTTACCAAGTCAGTAGTCTCTGATAAGAGCTTATTAACCTTTAACAGCTCTGGTAGCCTTCTCAGTCATGACTGGGTACTGATTCAGTGCAGTTCATTTTGGTGACAATGTGGCTCAAAGTTAGATTTGGCAACACAATAAGTAGTCTTTGTTGTCATTGCTTACAATTACTTTGTCCTTTTTATGACAAAATATATAAGATTGCGGAAGAGTGGTGGATGATGGGATGACTACAATCAGATTCAAGTATTTGCATTGATGGGAAACATTTCTTCCTCCTTCAGTAATTTCGGTTTTTCAGGAACTTCAGCTCCATATTTGCTCTCTTGCGTGTGGCACCAAAACAAGTCAAAGGCTACGTTCACACTGCAGGCAAATGCAACCCAAATGAAAATTTTTGTTGCCCCATATTGGATTTTTTTTCATAAAATTATGAACGTGACAAATCCGATTTTTTTATTTTTTTTATTTTTTTTTTCCAAATCTGACCCAGGCTTTTTTTAGTATGCGGTACTAAATCGGATACATTCCTCGTGCTTTTCAAAGTGACCTCAGAACGCTCATGTCACATTCCATCCAATAAACTGGACTTACTCAAAGTTACTGGATCGATATTTTACTCTCAACACGTCGCTCCGTTTCCAAAAATAAAAATGCTGGACCCAAGCAGCCGATCAGAGGACACTTCAAATGGTAACACTGAGCCAAACCAGCATGTCAGGTAACTATTTAAATCTACTCTGTTTGCACAACGACGTCAGAATCAACATGCTAACATGTAGCGTCCACAGGCTGCTTCTGGAAACAGTGAGCTGAATGTGATGTCACAKCATGACTGCTAAAGAGAGTTAACACTGGAGTCTGATGGAGGTCGCATTTGAAATATAATGCAGATGCCCCGCAAATACTACTAATAATAATAATAATTTTTGTGAAAAAATCTAAATTGAGCATAAAGACCTGCAGGATGAACGTAGACTTAGTTGAAAAGGGTTGGAGTGAAGAGGCTAAACACAATCAGATGGCAAACATGCCCACTCATGAGAAGTGGCAGCCGGGAGCCTTCATGAACTATTGATGAAGTGCACATGGTGCTCTGAGGTTCTGGACTTGTGTTCACATAAGTCGACGGGTCATGAGTGATGAGCTCAACTGGCAATGTTGCACATATTTAAAATGTTAGAACCCAGCGCCACTTCAGCTGCAAACAATTAATCTTCAGGGGTTTTCTTCTGGACATTCGTGAGAGAACTCTCAGAATAGGAAAGAAATCTGATTTCCTGTTTGTGTTCATCCATCCGAGTCTGAGTGGCTGAAATTAAGATGGACTGTTACATTTGTGTGTGTTTATGCGTGAGTGTGTGTATGGAGTGGGAAAAAAAATGCTATTTTATACAGAACCGGCTTGATCAGCAGAGTTTAGGCTGTCAATTGTGGCTATCTATTTGTGTGCCAATAGGATTCAAATTATCCTAACATTCCTTACTTCTTTCCTGTTTTACATATTCTGCTGATTATCACAGATTATACCCCATCTCCTAAAAATATCACTTCTCATCCCTCCACACATGTCTCTTTCTAGCTTTGTTGTTTTACCTGTCTGTTTAAAATAATTATATACAGTGCTTTCCCCCTCCTTCTGTTATCTAACAAGCTCACAGACCTCTGTCTTTTGGTCGTGTTTATTTTTTCATTTTTATAATAACAAGCAACATGTTTCAGAGAGTACTGTACATGTTTAGTAAAACTAGCATCAGGAGAGTGGAGCTGGATAGAGAAATGCAACTGTCACCTCCTCTCTGAAAAGCATTGAGATGTATTTAATGGTGCAGACGTACACAACAAATTACTAAAAATGATGATGCATTCTTGTAGAAATATTTTTAAAAGACCCTTTTTTGCAATTAAATTATTTAAGAAATGTGACCCGATCTCCCCTTTGAGTCTTTGTGTCRTGTCTTGAATTGATGAAAATGTGTTTTGCTCTTTGTACGCCAATTCATGATCGCACACACACACGCTCTTTAAGTCAAGTTATTACCCAACACAAACACGTTGAATTTCTCCAAATACTTTTTTTTTCTATAATCTTTCACTCCTACAGTTATTACCAGAACATTTCTGCTAGTGTGACCATATTTTCTTTKATAAAATCACTAAAGCACAGATTTTGCCTTTAATATGGTTTAAGTAAATATTCCACACCCTCAGATTTACCTACATATTTCCTCACATATGCTTAGTGTAACTGCAAACCAGAACTGTTGATTTCTCGTCCAAAGCGTTTTGATTTGATGTTTCAAACAGGCTTAAGCTGTATTATTGCTGTAGATCAGCCCCAGGTCTTTTAAATTAACATATTTTTTTTTAGAAAATACGATTGCAATAAAGTTGAGATGTTGTGTGAAACCATTAAAAACAGAATATGATGATTTGCAAATCCTTTTCAACCTACAGTATATTCAATTGAATAGAATACAAAGACAAGATATTTAATGTTCAAATGTCAAAATTTAATGTTTTAGAAAATAATTGCTCATTTTGAATTGGATGCCTGCAACGCACTCCATGTTACATCACGTTTCCTTTTAACAACCCTTAATAAGCGTTTGGGAACACGTGCAGAATGTGGCATTGTCTTGCTGAAACAAGCAGGACATCCCTGAAATAGACGTGGCTTGGATGGCAGCATGTGTTGCTCCAAAACCTGTATGTAGCTCTCAGCATTAATGTTGTTTTCACAGATGTGAAAATTATCCAAGCCACGGGCACTAATGCACCCCCATACCATCAGAGAGGCTGGCTTTTGATCTTTACGCTGATAACAATCAAACAAACTAATTGGAGTTGCATTTATAAATTGTCTTTTAGATTTACTTGTTACATACCTCAAAAACATTGATATTGAAAAATAAGTAGGTCCTCTGGATGGGTTCTTCTTTAGTGAAATGTTTCATCTCTCATCCAAGAGACTTCTTCAGTCTGATGAGTTTCAGATGAACTCCTTATAAGCACTGCCTCCACATGGTGGACAAACAGGTTAGTCACATGCAAAAGAGGGCCATCGCTTAACAATAGGTTTGATTAGCTCTATTGTTCATAGAGGGTCATGTGCCCCATCACCTGACTTATTGGTTTGGATGCTGTGGTTTTTAGGTATCATGTCATGTGTATGTAGTCAGGGCTCAACGTCCCCTTGTTGCCAAAAAAACAAAGACAAAAACAAGGGGACGTTGAGCCCTGCCTGCATTCACTACATCCACATAACACGACACCTAAGAACCACAGCATCCAAACCAATAAGTCAGGTGATGGGGCACATGACCCTCTATGAACAATAGAAGGCATTTACGCACTGCAGGGCCGGCCCGGCCCGGCCTGACTTCTAACCCCGGTTCAGCGGTTGTACATAAGCATAGTAGGGCCGGATCCAGCCTGAGTTCTGGAACCTGGCCAGGCGAGGTTCCAGTCGGGCCGGCCCGGTTTGATGGCTTATTTGTTTTGCTCTGACGAGTCAAAACGAGTCTGGCAAGTCATTAAAAAACATATAGATCTATGAAAAAGCAACTGCTTTCATAACGGTAGCATGTAACAAGCTAATATTGCTAGCTTACTTGTCGATGCCGTCTGCGTCTCGCTATAGCCACTTTCTGTTGCTGTTGTATGACCAAGTACATCCTTCGGAAACTCTCCGCTCTTCTGCGCATCACCATTCGTCGTCTCACTTGACATTTAAGGACCGTTATGCGCGCCTTTCCGGTAAACAGTTCCCACCCACTTCGAGGCGACTCTGATGACAGTGCAAAACATCCAGGGCTGGGCAGGGCCAGACCTAGGCCATCTGGGGGCCAGGGCCGGCCCTGCAGTGCGTAAACGCCTAGAGCTAATCAAGCCTATTGTTAAGCGATGGCCCTCTTTTGTGTGTGACTAAATAGAGCTAATTAAGCCTATTGTTAGGCGATGGCCCTCTTTTGCATGTGACTAAATARAKYTAAWCAAGCCTATTGTTAGGCGATGGCCCTCTTTTGCATGTGACTGACCTGTTTGCCCATATGGAGGCAGTGCTTATAAGGCTGAGTTCACCTGAAACTCATCAGACTGAGGAAGTCTCTTGGAGGAGAGACGTAACGTTTCACTAAAGAAGAACCCATCCAGAGGACCTACTTATTTTTGCTTTTTGATAAAACTCATTTTGTTAGCCTTAAGTTTCTTTATCCACTTTATATTTCAAGCTTTCTAAATTTGTCTGAGCAGACTGTTTTCAATAAATAAGAAACATACTTCGATCATCTGCCCCTTTTCTATTTTTCTGCATTTTCCCTGTCAAATGACACACAGAGCCATGGATCAGTGTCTTCTCCTTTTGTCTGAAAGGAACAGACATTTTCAAATCTTCTCCTGGATGTGCTCAAGAGGAGGTCTCAACCAAAGGTGCTGTCAGTTTCGTCCTACGGTGAGCTCAGTGGATGTCATCCTCATTTTTGGACGCAATTTCTTTCCCCCCTGTAATGTCTTCTCAATCAACTTCTTGTCCTTCCATGTGGTGCCATCTTGGCAAACTTAAGGAAACGTTTGAAAAACATTCATGTAACAAAACAAAATTAAGCATGGCTGTAAACATCCTGGGACAGACTGAGAGACCATGTCGCAAATCTGGAGTTTGTTTTGAGTAACTTGCACAGACAGTGCTCTCCCAGTGCTCAATATGTAGTAAAATCTGTCAGTTTGAAGTAAATATGGACCAACGCCAAGATAAACTAGAGGACTGCATACTTTCCTATGGCTATTGACATAGTGTCACGTTACTCCATGCTTGAGCATATTGATTGTCTGCAGGCCCATTTCATCAAAATATGTCATACAATGCAAGGGAGAATTATTAAGACGTCAATAAAGATTAATTTCTTATCCCTTCTTGGTGAGTGGACAGCATTAGCATAAATACTGCCGTGCATTAACATGTCTGAACCACATGTCGGTCAGGAGGAGGATCACTGGAACACATCATCACATGGCATTAAAAAAAACCTTTGCTCTCTCCTCCCCCTTATTTCCAAAAGCAGACTCTTTCTTTTCGTTTGGCCCTTATGATCGCCCCCGCCCCCCTTTCTCTGTGAGCCACCGACTGGTACCCACACGCCCATTTTCTGACTCGTTTTCATCATCTCTCATCTCCTCTGCCATAATCCCCCTCTTTCCCTGCAGCTTGGCAAAGCTAATTGGTCACGTCTACACTGTGACATGGGGACCTGACATAATTGCTGGACAAATAGTGAGGCGTTTAGCTTCAGACCTGTCTTGAGCAAGCTGTACACAGACACCAACCGACAGGAAAGCCTAATTACCTCTTCAGCCTTCCAACTCGCTAATTGGCGAATTCTTCTAACAAAGAAATATGTGTATCTTTGTGTAAATGTGTTTGTCCGTGTCCTTGCTTTCCCCCGTAATTTAAAAAAAAGTTTGTGGAATAGGACACATAAACAATAGAACGAAGAATGAATAAATGATCACTTTAAAAATGTGCATTTAAAAGAAATAAAAAAGGAAAGGCTTTGATGCAGTTGTGTTATTTTGCAGTGCATCTGCTAATTATATCCGTTTGGTTTGTCCAGATTTTCTTTTTATGTGACCAGAAACGCCCACGCCATCTTTCCAACACATGCTCTCCCTCAGAAATGTGATGAAGCCTTTTATGATAACCGCAATTTTTAACATTTCATCTGCATTCAGAACTCTTAGAATACATTCTGTTTATGTTTCTATTTTTGTTTGCCCCACAGAAGTGAAACAAAAGTAACAAAGCACTTTACGAGCACCTTATAAAATCTGGGATTTCAGAATAAAAAGGTGCAGCTGTTCCCCGTCATTTCTAATGATGCTCATTTTCAGTCTATGAAAAAAAGACTCTACTGCAAAACCCAGAAAAAATTCAACCGCACACTCACATCACCCCCGTCCTCAAAAAGGGGTTCAGCCCCCCCCTGCAGWACAAGCATCCTATTGTTGGGTGTTTGGGTGCAGCTGCGTGGTCTTTCTGTCTGATGAGATGTGCATGTCTGCAAGAGAAACAATATTCAACAGGACTGCATCCAGGGACCTCAGGGTGACCTGGAGTTCACGGTCAAAGCTGGACAGTTGGTGGGAATCTGTCACATGGGAGAGATGAGGCAGCCTTCAGGTACAACAAAGCCACTGAACAGACAAAATCAAATGTTGGCATGGGGTGAAGATGATGCTGTCATAGCTGCAGTTAGCCAGCTTCTTAAAGGGATTCCCGATTAGTTGTAACATTAGACTTTATATGATAAACATATATTTTAACTGTAAAATAAAGACTGTAAAAATACTGTAGGATGTTCAGTTTTTATAATTTTTAAACCAAAAGTTTAAAAATATATGGGGGCCATTTCATTTACACGCAAAGCATTCTGGGTAAATGATGACATCAACTAGGTCATTGGCACGAGGC